GTAACATGAGTTAGATATTCGTCTCTTGAAAAGAGGATGCTTTTGCATCTAAACATCGAAATAACAGTATAAATAGTAACCAATACTTATTTACACGATCGCGTAAAAATAAAAGATGATTAGGAGCCCAGTGGACCCCTTCTTTATTTAATATTTTTTTGCTGGAATGACAATATACATATAAAAAATATATATCGCTATTATAAGTGCGAATACAAATAAAAAAAAATCTAAATAATTTGTATTTCTGATCCTGGTAATTGTTCTACAAGTATATTAATAATATTTTGATCAGGATTATTACTGAAAAGAGTATAAAGATTAGTATAAGGATGCATATTCACATATCCTCCTTGGGGCGAAATATAAGAAACCGGCGAGGTGTGCTAGTTGCACCAGATGGTAATAGGGACAAATGGGCTTGAACTTGAGTTTCTAATGATTCAACATCACTTCCATTAGAAACTTTGATTTTAAAAAAATAATACGGTAAGCAGAGCATGATGAGACAATTAAGATAAATATATTCATTAGTCTTAGGGTTGGGTTCGTTAGTCTTGGAGGTGGTGTTATCGTTAGTGCTCATTTTTCGTTTCTAAATACAAAAAACATAGTAAGTAAAAAATTATCTTCATAGTCTCCATTAAATGAAATTATATCAGCTAATATATAGCAAATTACTTAAAAAATTTGGCAAGTAAATCAAGTAAAAAATATATGAGCAAAAAAAATGGTATTGCTAACTTATCTTATAGTAGAAACTTGTTTATTTTTATACCCTTCATTCGCTAGATTCAAAAAACTTGCTAAAAAAAAAAGTTATATGATTAGTAATTGGGTTAAGGTAACGCAATCTAGATCACACTATGAAAAGCAAGTCTATTTGGTCATAAGTTCTAGATGCTGAATCTATTTTGTTATTTTTTTCTGGTAAAATTAACCCCCTTAGATTCGATGATCGCTTAAGGTAGGTTTAGATTTGACAATCTCGGCAATCTGGGAATTCCAAGTTCCTGCAACATATGAATTTGAACCAAACTACTGATTAAGAACATTATACATATTACTCTTATAACCTTTTTAAGTCTCATTCTTGTCGCGGGATCTTATATAATAAGAAAATAGTCTTGATATAATTCATAATATTCGTTATAAATCAAAAAATCGACTGTGAGAAATGATTCTGCAGGAGAGTGTCACAAAACCTTATATCTAATTTTGTGCGACTTGTTACTGTAACTTATGCTAATATTAATATAATTTTTTTTATGACTTGTTGAAGTACTGTTTAGAATAGGCGAAATATAAGATCCGTTATGCTAAATTTGTAATACAAATGTTCATTGGATTTCAAATATTCGGTCTAAAAAAATCGTGATCGAACTTGTGCTATACGTACCCATTGTGTTAAAATAAAGCATATATGTTTGCAAATATCAGTATATTACTGTATTGCTTATCGTTATTCAAATTAACTAATACCAGATTATATCATGCATAGTGAATTATTTTAAAATTTTCTTCAGAACAAAGTTTAAATATGATATTTCATTTTTGCATCGATCGAAATTTAAATATGGTGTTTCATTAACGAAATTATAATTATTTTAATCTGATACAAATTAAATTTGTGATGAATAATTGGGTAATTTTTCGCGAAACAAATTGAATTTTTTGTTTATATTTCCTTGAATTATTTTTTTCTAGAAAGAATAGTTTATGGTACCAACCAACATAGTAATATATATTTATTCATGTAACTTATCACCTTGTATAAATTTAAATTATTTTTTTACATGGTTTGTTGTAAGAGGAATATCTAGATTATATTTTCTTGTACACATATTTTCTATTAAATACTTGAGAGTGGATTTCCGAACAAATACGTATAACACTCATTCTTTTCAAACAAATTCATAAAATTGGAAATAAACCAACAAATTATTATATTAAGTTTTTTTTACTCTTAGAACTTTGCATATTAGGCAGTTATACAGTATTAATTTTAATCATCAAAAGCAGTTATGCTTAAAGTTTTCATCATTTTGATTACCTTGTTTCAAGATGCATTATTGGGGAACGCAGTTATTTTTCAAACGCCAGACGTTCTCACTATCTCTTACATCAAAAATAATCCAAATTTCTATGACTATTGTGACCAACAATTGGAAGATGTGGTAGGAATAGATGAATATCATTCATTTACGGCTTGTAAAGGATTAAGTGATTTGGCAAATAATAATCTACTCACCAATTTTTCAAACATGAACAGCATAGGTAGAGACTTTGATAAATGGGCCAGAAGCAAAGAATACAGAGAATACATCCATATTCCCAGTTTTAACGTTAAATGTGATGCTAAAGGTTATCTTGTCTCGGCTAATCCTCAAGATCCTGACTATCGTAATCAAGAAAATCTAACTAAAAATCCAGAAAAAGTTGCCGATACTGAACGCAATCCTTATGGCTATACAAAAATCCCTCAAGCACCTTGGGGAACCTGTTGACTTTATCAAACTTGTCCTGTTGGATATAAACAGGCTGATATTTACACGGAGGACCCAATATTCAATGGGTTTCAATCCAAACCAATCAATAGTAATACTTGCTTGAATATTCATAATTTTAGAACTAGTCGATTATCTTCTTGTACACAACGTGCTCAACAGGAAATGACAAAAATGGATGCGCCATTTATTTTCACTAATATTAATATAAAAGTTTGTTGCGACCGTCAAGTTTCTATTACTATTGATTGTAGTATTTTCCCCCAGACCTGTCTTTACATTGATGGAAAAATGGTTGGTGAACGAGAACAGACTGATCTTGGCAAGTTTATCCAGTCTGGGGGCAGTCAGCCAGATCCTTCTAAATTATCTAAGGCTGGTCACGGAAAAATTGCTTATTCTGGTAAATCATTAACATATAATAAAAAAGTTGAAAAGGTAATTCTGGCATAATACAATAAGGGAAGTATTTATTTTCGGTTTTATTCATTTGGTATATATTGAGAATAGCTCTATATTTTTATATTTCACTCTACAATATATGTATATTCTATCTTTATTTCCGAGAATAATAAATAGAATTGTATCGCTATAGCTTCAGAAAAGTAACAAATGTAAAATTTATTGTACAAGAAGCAGATTATATAATTTACAGTATCATTTTTTTATATATTAGATCTGAATATCGTGAAATGATATTCATTTTCGAGCTAGAATTTGTTTACAAGAAAGGACAAACCAAAAAAAATCACGAATCTATGTGATATCAGGTTTTTTGAAAACAGCATAATTCTTATACTTGTGTAGATCTGGTTAAGATATAAATTTTGTTATACTAAATTTGGCTATTCTCTTAACAGGTTACGTATTAACAATGCAACAATGTAATCCCAAATATAGAAAATATGTAATTGTTGGTTGATCTATCGTGTTCAATAATTGTAGTGCCGAATTTAGTAAACACGCAATTGTTTGTTTGTTAGTAATTATTATGATGCCAAATAAAAATTGTTAGTTGACTCGTGTTGGATTATTGCAATACCAAGTCATTTATATTGTATATTGCTTCGTATCAGATTGTTATATACTAAATAAGAATAAGTCGTGATTTATAATAAAAGGGTTATCCTCACTACAAAGTTCTGTTCCGAATTTGTTAGTTTTCAAGAGAATATCTTAAAAATTTTTATTTTTGTTTTTATAAATTACATACATGTGTCAACATTATGTCGCTACAAAATACACCCACTATGTTAAAGGCCTCCAAGAGAAATTTGCGTAAGAAAGAACTACGTACCATAAAAAAAACTAAAATTGAAAAATCCGATAGCTCAATCGTCGGAAAGGGTATTTCCAATTCTAATGCTAATCATATCGAAGAAAGCACAAACATATTTTACGATCCTTTAAAAGTAGGTTAAATATCTTTTATTACATTTAGTTTTATAGTATAGTCTTCTTAGAGGTACTTTTCGTCTTTCGAGGCAGGTCTAGGATCCGAGTATTCCCTCCCTATATAAAGTTATTTTTTCATCTCGGGCGTGATCGTCATCCTTGATGTGGGGCGTATGTGAGGAGGAAGGTGACGCAGACTTCATGGGTTTTAAACCCCCCAAACCACACTACTGAAAGTGATTCGAATGTATCTACTGAGAAGATTTTATTACTATTCAATATAAAGTATTTTTTGTATATCAATTTACCGGTTTTTTGAATATATATTTTCTAGCACAAGACTCAAAGCGAGACCCGTCTATCTAAGAGCAAATCATGTGAATATATTCTATCTTACTAGAAATCCGAAGATTTCATAGCGAGTGATCTTAAGTTAAAGAATGATTTGCAATCCATTTTTTTAATGGATCTAAAGATTACCTTTTTCGAAAAATTTGCAGAAAGAAGACGGCAACGAGAAGTTATTAAGACGCTACTGGACCGAGAATTGCTTCCATTGGATACTGTAAAGCAAAACACCTTTTCTCTTAAATATGACACTCTTTCCAAATTTGACCTAGAAAATATTTGGAGCGAATTATACAATTCAGAAAAATCACTACCACCCCAAACTACACAAATTATTTATCTCATTTTAACTACCTTTCAAATACCTGCTGAATTTATTGATTTACTAGAATCAGAAATTTTTGATCACACCAAACCCACAAATAAAAATTCTGATTTAGCATGGAAGCAATTCACTTTGTGGGCATTTTTTGCAATCAGTCCTTCTATTGTAAAGCAGATTCGTAACCAT